CTATTCTCAACTAGGCCTCAGTGTCTGTTGTTCTCATCTTTGTGTCCATGTGTTCTTATTATTTAACTCTTATCAATGAGAACATACATTTGGTTTTCTGTTTCTGTTTTAGCTTCCTAATGATAATGGTCTCCAGCGTCGTCTATGTTGCTGCAAATAACTTAATCTTATTTTTGTTTTATATATTTATGTTTTGAGACAGAGTTTTCACTCTTGTCGCCCAGGCTGAAGTGCTATGGCACCACCTCAGCTCACCACAGCCTCCGCCTCCTGGGTTCAAGTGATTCTCCTGCCTCAGCCTTCCGAGTAGCTGGGATTACAGGCATGTGCCACCATGCACGGTTAATTTTATATTTTTAGTAGAGATGGGATTTTTCCGTGTTTGGTCAGACTGGCCTTGAACTTCTGACCTCAGGTGATCTGCCCACCTCAGCCTCCCAAAATGCTGGGATTATAGGCTGAGCCACCACGCCCAGCTGGTTGTTTTTTTTTTTTTTTTTTTTCCCCTTTTTTTAATGGCCACATAATCTTCTATCATGTTTATGTACCATACTTTGTTTTTATTAAATCTTCTATTTTATTTAATTAATTAATTTATTTGGAGACAGTGTTTCACTCTATCACAAAAGCTGAAGTGCAGTGGTACAATCTTGGCTCACTTCAGCCTCAACCTTCCAGGCTCAAGGCACCCTTTTACTTCAGCCCCCTAAGTAACTGGGACTACAAGCATGCACCACCATGCCCGGTTAACTTCTTTTTCTGTCTTTTGCAGAGCTGGGGTTTTGTTATGTTGCCCAGGCTGGTCTTGAACTCTTGAGCTAAGGTAATCCAGCTGCCTTGGCCTCCCAAAGTGCTGGGATTACAAGTGTGAACCGCCTCACCTCATTAAAATGTTGTTTTAATCTAGTCTACATTAATAGGCAATTAGATTTGTTCCATGTGTTTGTTTTTTGTTTGTTTGAGACAGAAACTCCCTCTGTTCCCGAGACTAGAGTGCAGTGGCACCATCTCAGCTCACTGCAACCTCTGCCTCCTGGGTTCAAGCGATTCTCCTGCTTCAGTTTCCTATGTAGCTGGGACTACAGGCACATGTAACCACACCTGGCTAAATTTTGTATTTTTAGTGGAGACAGAGTTGGGTATATACCCAATTTGGAGGTTGCTGGGTCAAACAGTAATTTCAGTTCTGTGAGGAATCTTCACACTGCTTTTCACAGTGGTTGAATTAATTTACCCTCCCACCAGCAGTGTATAAACATTCCATTTTCTCTGCAATCTTGCCAGCATCTGTTACTGACTTTGGATTTTGAGAGAGAGTCTCACTCTGTCATCCAGGCTGGAGTACAGTGGTGTGATCTCAGCTCATTGCAACCTCCACCTCCTGGGTTCAGTAGATTCTCATGCCTTAGTTTCTAGAGTAGCTGGAACTACAGATGTATGCCACCAAGCCTCACTAATTTTTGTATTTTTAGTAAAGATGGGATTTCTCCATATTGGCCAGGCTGCTCTCAAACTCATGACCTCAAGTGATCTGCCTGCCTTGGCCTCCCAAAGTGCTGGGATTACTGCACCGAGCCTGTTACTGACTTTCTAAGAACAGCCATTCTGATTGGTGTGAGATGGTATCTCATGTAGGTTTTGTTTGTTTGTTTTTGACATTTCTCTAGTGATGAGTGGTGAGCATTTTTTGCACATGCTTCTTAGCCACATGTTTGTCTTCTTTTGAAAAGCATCTGTTCATGTTTTTTGCCTAGTTTTTAATGAAGTTTTTTTTTTCTTTGTAAACCTTAACTTCTTTATGAATTCTGGATATTAAACCTTTATCAGGAACATAGTTTGCAAATATTTTTGTTTATTTGGTATGTTGTCTGTTTACTCCGTTGGTAGTTTCCTTAGCTGTGAAGAAGCTCTTTAATTAGGTCCCTGTTGGGAAAAAGCTGAGTGTTGGGAGGGAAACTGAGGCAGGGCTTGCATAATGTCCTCTGGAATGTGTCTAGACCTGCTGGCTCCTTGCTTCTAGCCTTCCTAGGTTCCTACTCCCATTATCTCAAGTAGCAGAACGTGTTCCTTATAAATGCTAAACTGTCACAGCTGTAGATCATGTGCCTGCCCTTTTGACCTCCATGTTCTCACCACCTGTTTTTTTGTTGGATTACCAATAAATAGCTTGGGATCCCAGAACTCAGGGCCTTTGCAGCCTCCACGATGGTGATGGCCCTCTGGTGTCCCACCTTTATCTCTCAAACTGCCTTTTTCTCAATCCTTTGACTTCACCAGACTTTGTCACCCCCATGACCTAGTGTTGGGTCTGATCACCCCAACAGGTCCCATTTGTCAATTTTTGCTTTTGTTGAGGTTGCTTTTGGTATCTTCGTCATGGTACATGTAGATATGTGTAGTAAGAGAGTGACCTCTGTCTCGGAAAAAAAAAAAAAAAAGTTGCTGAAATCTCTTTACTTACGCCCTTTCCACAGGTTTTGTGTATTCTGGGTGGAAGCATTCATGTTGGTTTTTTTTTGTTGTTGTTTTTTTTTTTTTTTTTGAGACGAAGTCTCGCTCTGTCGCCCAGGCTGGAGTGCAGTGGCCCGATCTCAGCTCACTGCAAGCTCCGCCTCCCGGGTTTACGCCATTCTCCTGCCTCAGCCTCCCGAGCAGCTGGGATTACAGGCGCCCGCCACCTCGCCTGGCTAGTTTTTTTGTATTTTTTAGTAGAGATGGGGTTTCACCGGGTTAGCCAGGATGGTCTCGATCTCCTGACCTCGTGATCCTCCCGCTTCGGCCTCCCAAAGTGCTGGGATTACAGGCGTGAGCCACCGCGCCCGGCCTCATGTTGTTTTAATGAAGGGCCTCATGTGACTCTGGTGAGACCAGAATCAAGTATGAAGGCTTCAAGATACATTCCTGAGAGTTAAGTGCCACATTTGCACTAAAGGGTGGTTTTAGGATCTGTTCTGTTTGGGTTTGGTAGGGACAGGGCAGGGCAGTGGCCCATATTTTCATTACTGTAGTAAAAATTGTTGGTGTCTGTGGCAGTGGAGGGCACCTGTGGACGGGAAAAGAGGAACGTATATTTTATTTCCGTGGAGCAGCTCATTGTTCCTGAATCTCTTCTGTTATAAACGAGAAAAATGGGTAGACTTTTTGGTCTTGGTCCTTCTGTGAGTGTGAGGCTAGTAGGTAAGCAGGTGGTGCTGATGTCTTTAAGGGAATGTTCTCAAGATGCAGGTGTTACTTGTCTGATAGTTTTATCTGAAAAGGATTTTCAGAGGAGGAGGAGAAAGGAAAAATGACTTCTTTTCAGCTAAACATGTCTCAGATCAAGAGCTGTGTCCACTCTGCCTGCTGGAGTGCCATGTGTTTAGTACTGGCAAATCTTTACTTCTCTACTTGTGTATTTCCTCCCCAATGATTTTGTTTCACGTACTTTTAAAAATTCTTGTGATAGTCAAGGGTCTCTAAAAAATATTTCTATCCTATGTACCAGAGCCTTCTCTACATCATGGCTTCTTGTATGCAATGCAGAATTCCTACCATGAATTTATGATCTGCCGTATTAAAAGTGTTCCTTTTGTGGCTGTTGAACGTGGGAAGATGTGGATACTCAAGATTCCTATTGAGGGAAACCTAGGGTCCTTAGGAAGGATGGAGAACATGTAATGTTGAGGTGTCACCTGTGTTCTCCATTAGCTCTATGCAGAACAGGATTAAGAAAATGCTTATTTAAACAGGATGGCTTTTATTACCCAGAAAGTTCTGGAGAAAATTATTCAGAGATACCTGCTTTCTAGGATGCTAAAGAAGGACTGCTTAAAATCATTATTAAAAATTATAGAACATGGGAGATAACTTGACCACATAAAACTGATTTTTCTTTATGGTTAAATTCAGTCTATAATTGACTTTTTGAGGGGCAATATCTCAGCAGTGATGTTGTGTTCTGTGTGCATCAGCACATCGTAAAATTTATTCTAGTGTTATTGATGTTAATAATTTGCTTGGTTAAAGAGCTCTCTGACTTTTTTTCACTGTAGAGTTAATTGTTGTTCTCTTTATTATTAAGTATCTTTATGTGGCTAATGTGCATAAGCCATCACATTTAATCTGGCACCTGCCCTTTTTTCTTAGGTTTTTTTGTTTGTTTTTTGCAAGTATCTGTCTTTGGAAAATTAAAGCTCTTTGTTTATAGGCCAGAAAAATTGGGAAAAACACAGTCTCTTTCACTTATGGAATGTTTGACAAAATAGTCTTCTTGGGTCAAAAACATTGGCATTACTAGTGACCTTGTTAGAATTTTAAAAACTCAGGCCGGGCGCGGTGGCTCAAGCCTGTAATCCCAGCACTTTGGGAGGCCGAGACGGGCGGATCACGAGGTCAGGAGATCGAGACCATCCTGGCTAACATGGTGAAACCTCGTCTCTACTAAAAATACAAAAATCATTAGCCGGGCGAGGTGGCGGCGCCTGTAGTCCCAGCTACTCGGGAGGCTGAAGCAGGAGAATGGCGTGAACCCGGGAGGCGGAGCTTGCAGTGAGTCGATCGCGCCACTGCACTCCAGCCTGGGCGACAGAGTGAGACTCCGTCTCAAAAAAAAAAAAAAAGAATTTTAAAAACTCAGACTTTATTCCAGATCTTCTGGAAGAAAAAAAAAAAGCTTCATGACAGGATCTCCAGTTTATCTTACACATTTAAATTTGAGAGGTACCATCTAACTCAACATGCCTTTTTTTGTCTGAAAACATACACAACTCATTATGATGTAAATATAGCACTCAAACATGTATACATTTGTGTCCTTAATTATATTCTTTATGATCCAGAAAAGTATTACATACACTGGTGTTGTGAATATTTCTGTATTAAAAATTATTGGATAATTTCAGTTATTCTTATAACTCAGAACCAATTCCCTTTACTCTCTCATTTCACCTTAAGTCAAATAATACATTTTGCCCATGGCCACCTGGTAAATATATGTGTGTCTCTGTGCTTGTGTTTTTCAGGAGACATTGACATTTAGGGATGTGGCCATAGAATTCTCTCTGGAGGAGTGGGAATGCCTGAACCCTGCTCAGCAGAATTTATATAGAGATGTGATGTTAGAGAACTACAAAAACCTGGTCTTCTTGGGTGAGAATAACTTTAATACATGATTCTTAATATACTCTAAAGGTTTTATGTCTCTTTTTTTGTAGAATTTTTTTTTTGGTAATTTATGCTTTGTATAAATGAGTTTCTGATCCCAGTTTTCAAGAAAATCTTGATGATTTGTCTGTGGAAAAGAATTTCTTCAACATGTTTCATCTTGACCTGAACTTTCCACATTCCTGAGCTGATCTGCATCCTTCACTCTAGATTAGTGGCAATTCCAGAAATTTGGTGGCATAAAATATCATTGCCCGTATCTTAAAATCTATTTTCCACCATCAGTTTTTGATTCATGAGTACCAGGTAGTAAAATTAAGGACCTACAAATTTAAAATATTTTCTAAATAGTTAAAGATGTGTCTCATTAATTAGTAGTTTGGGATTAATTTTCTAGAATATTCTATTACATCCTTTTTACTGAGCACAGTACTAGGTTGGTAACTGGAGAATATAAGCAAGATTTATGCTATTTATTTTTAATAAAGCAGGTATTGATATCTCTAAGCAAGACCCAATCACCAGTCTGGAGCAAGAAAAAGAGCCCTGGAATATGAAGAGACATGAGATGGTGGATGAATCCCCAGGTAGGTAAGAGTGAACACAAGAGATGACACAGGTGAGAGGTACAAAGGTTAAAAAAAAAAAAAAAAAAAGGGTAACCCAGTCCTTACAATGTGATTTGGGAATCTGTGTTGCAAAACATATAGTTTCTGGGAACACTGAATATTTTCTTAAAATTTTCTCTCACTAAAGGGCATCTTCTGTTTTATGCTTTTAAATTCTCTTTCTCCTTTTCCTTGGGTGAACACACAAATATCAAATATTTGCTCATGTTTCGCTCTTGTTGCCCAGGTGGATTGCAGTGGCGTGGTCTTGACTCACTGCAACCTCTGCCTCTTGGGTTCGACAGTTTTCTTGCCTCAGTCTCCTGGTAGCTGAGATTACAGGTGCCTGCCACCACACTCAGCTAATTGTTTTGTATTTTTAGTAGAGATGGGGTTTTACCATGTTGGCCAGGCTGGTCTTGAACACCTGTCCTCAAGTGATCCACCCAAGTGGATCCACCTTGGGCTCCCCAAGTGCTGGGATTACAAATGTGAGCCACTGCACCCGGCTGAAAAACTCTGTTAAATTATTTTTTAGTTCTCTTTTTGCATCCTGTCTGAAATATGTGAGAGTAGTGGTTTCTGTTCCATTAGGGGTTTCTTGTTAATTTTTCTACATATTCCATCCTGTTTTTATTACTATAGTCTTAAAATATAGTTTGACATTATAAATTATGATGTCCTGTCCCTCTGCTTTGTTATTTTTTTCTCAAGACTCCTGTGGCTATTTGAAGTTTATTGTAGTTTCTTGTAAATTTTAGAACTGTATTTCCTATTGGGAAAAAAATGCCACTGGAATTTTGATAGGAAGTTTATTGAATGTATAGATTACTTTAGATAATATGGTACTTTAACAATATTTATTCTTTCAATCCATAGACATGAATTTTTTTTGTTGTTCTTGTTGAGTCAGAGTCTCACTCAGTCACCCAGGCTGGAGTGCACTGGTACAATCTCGGCTCACTGCAGCCTCCACTTTCCGAGTTCAAGTGATTCTGCTGCCTCAGCCTCCCTAATAGCTGGGATTACAGGCATGCGCCACCATGCTGTGCTAATTTTTGTATTTTTAGTAGAGACAGGGTTTCACCATGTTGTCCAGGCTGGTCTCAATCTCCTGACCTTGTGATCCACCCGCCCTGGCCTCCCAAAGTGCTGGGATTACAGGTGTGAGCCACCACGCCCGGCCAACATGAAATATATTTAAATTTATTTTTGTCTTCTCTAATTTCTTTCATTGATATCTTATATATTTCATTGTAAAGATTTTTTACCTTGGCCAGGTTGCAGTGAGCTGAGATTGCACCACTGCACTCCAGCCTGGGTGACAGAGCGAGACTCCATCTCAACAACAACAACAACAAAAACCCACAAAGACGGGGAGAAACCAGGGCAGAAAAGCTGAAAATTCTAAAAATCAGAGTGCCTCTTCTTCTCCAGGGGAACGCAGCTCTTCACCAGCAATGGAACAAAGTTGCCTGGAGAATGACTTTGACAAGTTGAGAGAAGAAGACTTCAGACAATCGGCAATAACAAACTTCTCTGAACTAAAGGAGGATGTTCGAACCCATCGCAAAGAAGCTAAAACCCTTGAAAAAAGATTAGACGAATGGCTAATTGATGGAGCTGAAAACCATGGCACGAGAACTACATGATGCATGCATAAGCTTCAGTAGTTGATTTGATCAAGTGGAAGAAAGGGTATCGGTGATTGAAGATCAAATGAATGAAATGAAGTGAGAAGAGAAGTTTAGAGAAAAAAGAGTAAAAAGAAATGAACAAAGCCTCCAAGAAATATGGGACTATGTGAAAAGACCAAATCTACATCTGACTGGTGTACCTGCAAGTGATGGGGTGAATGGAACTAAGTTGGAAAACACTCTTTGGGATATTATCCAGGAGAACTTCCCCAACCTAGCAAGGCAGGCCAACATTCAAATTCAGGAAATACAAAGATAATCCTCAAGAAGAGCAACTCCAAGACACATAATTGTCTGATTCACCCAAGTTGAAATGAAGGAAAAAATGTTAAGGGCAGCCAGAGAGAAAGGTCGAGTTACCCACAAAGGGAAGCCCATCAGACTAACAGATCTCTTGGCGGAAAGAGATCTAGAAGAGAGTGGGGACCAATATTCAACATTCTTAAAAGAACTTTCAACCCAGAATTTCATATCCAGCCAAACTAAGCTTCATAAGTGAAGGAGAAATAAAATCCTTTACAGACAAGCAAATGCTGAGAGATTTTTGTCGCCACCAGGCCTGCCTTACGAGAGCTCCTGAAGGAAGCACTAAACATGGAAAGGAACAACCGGTATCGGCCACTGCAAAAACTTGCCAAATTGTAAAGACCATCAATGCTAGGAAGAAACTGCATCAACTAACAAGCAAAATAACCAGCTAACATCATAATGACAGGATCAAATTCACATAACAATATTTGCCTTAAATATAAATGGGCTAAATGCTCCAATTAAAAGACACAGACTAGCAAATTGGATAAAGAGTCAAGATCCATTACAGTGTGCTGTATTCAGGAGACCCATCTCACATGCAGAGACACACATAGGCACAAAATAAAGGGATGGAGGAAGATCTACCAAGCAAATGAAAAAAAAAGCAGGGATTGCAATCCTAGTCTTTCATAAAACAGACTTGAAACCAACAAAGATCAAGAGACAAAGAAGGCCATTACATAATGGTAAAGGGACCAATTCAATAAAAAGAGCTAACTATCTTAAATAGATATGCGCCCAATACAGGAGGACCCAGATTCATAAAGCAAGTCCTTAGAGACCTACAAAGAGACTTAGATTCCCACACAATAATAATGGAGACTTTAACACCCCGCTGTCAACATTAGATCAATGAGACAGCAAGTTAACAAGGATATCCAGAAATTGCACTCAGCTCTGCACCAAGCGGACCTAATAGACATCTACAGAACTCTCCACCTCAACTTAACAGAATATACATTCTTCTCAGGACCACTTCACACTTATTCCAAAATTGACCACATAGTTGGAAGAACTCAGCAAATGTAAAAGAACAGAAATTATAACACACTGTCTCTCAGACCACAATGCAATCAAACTAGAACTCAGGA